ACTCAGTCTCTCCCAATGTGGAAAACGCATCTGGAATGCCACTGCCCGCCTCACCGCGCACGCCAGCTGATCTGGCCCACAGGGCATCAGCTCCCGCCAGGTCAGGTCTGGTAACTCCTCACTGCTTCTGAACCATCTCTCCCTCTCCCTGCCACTCAGTCTGATTCCTCAGCTTTGCCTTTGATGTTCAGGGCTCCTAGATTGTCATATATAATAGATTCAGTTGTTTTTTTGGGACTTGTAAGAGGGACCACTGGAAGCATCTGACTACTCTGCTATCTTGGTCCTGCCTCCAAGCTTTCAGTTTTAAGTATTTAATAATTGTTACTCAGAAAGCTTACACTCAATATCAATAAACTCTCTGTTAAAGAATTATTGTTGTAACATGCAAAACTGTAGGTAATAAAATGAAATCCCTCCTGCTAGGACTCTCAAGCCCTCTTGGAAGGCTAAGGAATTAAAACACATTGAATTAATTCAAGCTTTATAGCAAATACCCTATGCAAAGGCCTAGAAACAAAGCTTTCAGAAATCCACAGGGACAATCAAAGTTTCACGATTTTTAGACATGCCATGATGTACAACCAAAATTACAGGAAGTGTATTTCAGATGCTTTCTGTTCAAAAGATTCAAAGGTTCTTCATAACTGGGTAACATCCTTGGCCCTCTCTTGTTTTCCCCAGACACTATCTAGATGGTACAGTGCCTCCTGTGGTTTCAACAGCTACACATATGCTGATAACTCACAAATCTTTATTTCTAGACCAGACCTCTTTCCTGAGCTCTAGGACCATGTGGGTGTCATCATTTTCCCCTCCCATCTGCTCCTCCTCTTATACCTCCTAGCTCATTAAATGGCAGCACCACCTACCTGGCTGCTCAAGTCAGGTAGTTGAGCTCCCTCCTTGACCCCTCCCTTTCTTTCAGCTCTCACATCTCATCGGTCTTCAGAGCCCATGGATTCTGCTCCCTGCTGTCACTTAAACACACCTGCTGTCTATCCCCACTTCTATCTTAGCTCAGACACCATTTCTCCACACACGCAGACCAATCAACACAAAGGTCTGTTGATTGAATAAGTGAAATGCTAACTTGTTTTCCATAATATTGCTTCTCTCCAATCCATTCTTCAGAGCCATAGGGACTTTCCCAAAAGACAAAGTTGATCATGCCATTATCCTGCTGAAAATGTCCTAGACTGAAATAAAGGCCTTTGTGATCTAGTTCCTGTCTACCTCTTCAAATGTATCTTTTTCCTTTTCTTGTCTCTCTTCCTGCACTCCAGCTATAATCAGAAACTAGCTGCCATCAAGTCAGCTCCAATCCACAGTGACCCCATGTGTGTCAGAGTAGAACTGGCATCCATAGGGTCTTCAGTGGCTAACTTTTTAGAAGTAGATCACCAGGCCTTTCTTCTGAGGTGTCTCTGGGTGGACTTGAACTTCCAACCTTTTGATTAGTAGCTGAGCGTATTAACCATTTGCACCACCCAGGGACTCCACGCACTGCAGATATAGGAATCCTCAAATGTTTACTCTTCATTTCTCCATGCTTTTGTACCTACTAATATTCTCTCTACCCAGAATACCCCTTGCCATATCCTTCTCCTAGCTGATTTCTGCTTATCTTTGAAAACTCATCTTCCTCCAGGAAGTTTCCTTTGCATTACTCACCCCTGCTAAGTAATTCTTACAGCAGTCTTGGTCCTAAAAATTATGAAGTATTGTAACTGTTTGCTCGCCTCTCTTTCCCCAGTGGACTGAGAGCTCTTTGAAGGCTGGAACTATGCCTTTTCACCTCTTACTAGCTGGGGTCTTTCATAGGTCCTGGCTATTTTATGTCTTCAATAAAGGTCTGTTGATTGAATAAGTGAAATGCTCTAGAATGAGGTCATATGTTCCTGTGTAACTTCTTGCTGGAAACCTGCCTAGATTAAGGTTACAAGAAGCAGATACTACCGAAATGGGAAGACTTGTTCAAGCAGAGGCATAGAATCAGATTTTTTAAGATGCTGGTCAGTTTGGCCTGATTCTTGGAATGTGCCTCTTGCAAAGGCAAAGAGGAAAGTCTCAACAATTGCCAACTTCAGCACAGCAGCCTCTAGGGACAAAGACAGTTATGTGGGAAGGAACCCAGTCCTGAGCACCTGCAGACAGAGACTAACAAGGGAGCAAAGGCATGTGCTTAGGGATATAACAGTCCCCTTAGAAGCAAGTTCAGAAGTCTCTATCTGGTTTGTTGCCAATAAAGAGAAAGGAATCGTTCTTCCACTGTTTCAGTTTTGTAAATTCTTAATGTGAGAATACATAGTAAGCCCCTAAAGGTCTTATCAGACTTATACCTCAGTTACGGGTTTTTGTTTTTGGTTTGTTGGTTTTTATGAACTTTAACAAAGAGCTTCATCTCTGGCTGGCAGTGTCAACAACATTTTGGCTTATCAACTACACAAAAAATTCCAGTATCATTACTTCTACATCTGTGAGCCTCCTTTGAAAAGCTGCCACCCTGTGTCCTATTTGCTTTGTTTTCTACCTAGACCACTCTGGTCCATACCACCCTCACACATTTTAATGCCTTTTCTCTTCACTGGAAATGTTTTCTACCAATTCTAAACTATACAGCCAGTCCTAATGACCAAAAACCCTGGAAACAGCATGTGCTAGAGAGAAGACCTGGCTTTTGGCTTCATGGTCCAGCAGAATCATGAAGAACCCTCAATTTGGGAATTGATGACGCAGAGCAACTTATTAATTGTGCATTCAAGGGGAGAACAGAAGTGTTATCTAAAAATGCTGTGTTGGCTTTGTAAGTTAACAGCTCTCTGCCCTAAAGAGGACTGTCTGTGGTTTGAAGCTTGCCCTAGGGATGGGAATTCCGACTATTACCAACCCAGCTGCTGAATGTCTCTCAGCCACCCTTCCAACAACCTTCTCTAGGAAAAATGTACTTACTGAAAAATGCAATTCTGCTGCTTATGTTTTCTGTCTTGAAGTGTAGAACTTACCAACATTTTAAGGTTTCCAAAATTAAATGAGACTAGATATATTTTAGGAGTCCCTGGGTGGTGCAAGTGGTTAAGCGCTCGACTACTAGCCAAAAGGTCGAACCCATCCAGAGGTGCCTCAGAAGTCAGGTCTGGCAATCTACTTCCAAAAGATCACAGCCTTGAAAACCCTATGGAGCATTTCTACTCTGCACAAATGGGGGTTGCCATGAGTTGGAATCAACTAGATGGCAACACAGCAAAGTATAACTAGTTGCCACCAAGTTGATTCAGACTCATGGTGACCCCATATGCATCAGAGTAGAACTGGGATCCATAGGGTTTTCAAAGACTGATTTTTCAGAAGTAGATTGCCAGGTCTTTCTTCCAAGGCAACTCTAGGTTGACCTGAACCTTCAACCTTTTGGTTAGTAGCTAAGATCAGGTTTTAAAACTTCAGTGCATTAAAGAGAAAAACTGGTTTGACTAATAAATTGAGTCTCTTTTCTCACAAAGTTACTACTCCTCCTACCAGCCTTCTTTTGGTCAGGCACATCCCCGCTCTCTCCATCACTGACATTCAGAAACTTAGGGGTCGCTTTCTGTTTCTCCCTCCTGTCACACATGCAGCAGCCAAGATGTATAGATTTTGCTTTTTCCTGCATCTTTCCTGCCTTCTGTTCTCTGAATATGCCTGTGACCATCTGAGCTCTGGCCCACCTGATATATGAATCTTACCCAGATTAGTAAAATAAAATCCTGATGTTCTTGCTACCAACCCACCCAACAGCACTGTTCATTTTCCTAAAACACATCTCTCAAATCACGTCATTCCCCTGCTCAAAGATTTTCAAGGGGGCCCTACTGAACCAATCCCATATCCCCAGATTTCCAACCTGCCTTTTCTGCCCTGTATTTTATTGTTTCAGCTATGGGCATGTATATTCTTTCACACTTTGTGCAGTCCTACCTCTGTGCTGTTGCCCATGCTGTTGCTGTCACCCACACTACCTGGTTTGAATCCGGTTCCATTATTTACCAGCTTTGTGTTTCTGTTTCCTCATTTATAATATGAGGATAATAATAAAAAAAAATCAAACCCGTTGCCATCAAGTTGATTCTGACTCATGGTGATCTCATCTGTTACAGATCAGAACTGCTCCATAGGGCTCCAAAGGAAGCAGATTGCAGGGCCCTTCTTTTGAGGTGCTGCCGAGTAGGTTCTAACTGCCAACCTTTAGGTTAGTAGTTGAGCGCGAACCACTTGCACCACCCAGGGACGTGTGGATAATAATAATAATAAACACCTGTTGCCATTGAGTTGATTCCAACTCATAGTGACACTATAGGACAGAGTAGAACTGCCCCATAGGGTTTCCAAAGAGTAGCTGGTGGATTCGAACTTCCGACCTTTTGGTTAGCCACCGTAGCTCTTAACCACTGCACCACCAGGGCTCCACAGTTATTAATAGCACCCACTTTATAGGGTTTTTATGAGGATTACATGAGTCTATACATATAAAACTTAGAAGAGCCACAGCACATAATAAGTGTTCAGTAAAATGTTATTATGACTATCCTTTTTAAGGGCCATTTTAAATGTATCTCTTTAGTGAAGCCTTTATTAATCACCCAACTTAATGCCATCTTCTCCTCTCTTTGTACTCCTCTGAATAGTATTTGGCATATAATGCCCTGTCTTACAATTGTGTATGAAGTTGTCTTGGCCTGTACTGGACTATAAAGTCATTGAGGTTAAGGAAACTCTGTTCATCATTGAATATGTTGAAGGATTTTGCATAGTGCCTGACACATTAAAAGGACTCAATAAATACAGACTAAATTGAAATCAATTGATTTCACTCTTTTTAAAACTCTGTTCCACAAGCCATAAAGATAAGTAAATGAAACGAACAGCTTGATAACGAGGATGCTACTGGTGAGGGACTCTGAGATTGATGTCATTGCAATGTATGACTTGCCCTGATAACATCGTTTCTCCATGGTCTTCACGGCAGGTCTGCTTAGTCGCCTATCTTGGCTTGTTTATGCTTTGTGTCTCCTATCAAGTTGATGAACGGACATGTATCCAGTTTGCTATGAAAGTAAGTTGTGATGTTTTCTTTTCCTTTTATCATTGCACAGAAAGCAACACAAGTACAAAATAAATGAGTGCCTTTTTAAGGGCTTACATATCTGATTATTTTAGAAATTTCATTTTTATACAGGCCAAAAAATATTTTAGGAGGGCATTGGTCCAGCCCCCAAACATAATATTAGTTGCTTTGCTTTTTGCTTTGTTTCTAAGTCTTAAGTTTCCATAAACTGGGTAGGCCTAGAGCATATGAAGTCTGTCCTTCAATGCCCTTAAAAGGAATATTGAAACTTCGTCAGTTCAGCAACACTTGGCTGGGAAAAGGTGTCTATTATCAGTGCCCACTTCCATATCTTGGGGGTTATTTAGATTATTTTAATAATGGAGTGGTCTAAGCGTACTTCCTTTTGTAGGTGTGATCACTGAGATGGAAAAAGCACATTGGGTGCATCCAAATTATCTGTGCCAAGAGTGAGAGGGCAAAGTGGGGGTGGGGGTGGGGGATATGTACGGTTTGTCAAGTGTGTGTGTGTCTTTCATTTGCACGTCTTTTTTTCTCTGCTGGGGCAGTGCATTTAGTTGGAGCCAATTCAAGTACACAGCATCTTCACACAACTACTCCAAAGGGAAACAGAGTCACACCCTTTCAGACCATAAGGAGATAAACACTGAACTCAGCAATCAGAGCTAGAAGAAATCATACTCCTACATTTTCTCTCAACTGCTGCAGTAGAGAACAAAAAGCTTTCCGTAATTTTTTTTTGGTGCACTCACATGGTTTACTCTTCTATTAAAAAACAAAAATTAGATACTTTTTGTTCACTGAAATAAGAAAGCATAAGGCATAAGAGTGAGTTAAATATATTATTTGGAAATTAAGATAAAAAATTAAGAAGTGTTAGTATATTCTAGTATAATTGAAACTGTTAACATAAAAAAGCAATGTGCTAATTTTAAAAAAATCGTGCTGTAAAAGAATAATGAATAGAATAAAACTATTTACATTAATTAGCAAAAAAAGCTGGTTCCACAAAATGTGTGGTATGATCTTACATAAGAAAAAAAAAAGCTAGCTTTTTATGTGCATAAAAATAGCTATCTGGTGGAATTATAGTTGAATTTGTGTTTTTCTTTAACTCTGAAATTTTCTCCAATAGCTAGATGTAACTTTTCTAATTAAAAAAACTAATGGATGTTGTTTTTGGGGAAAAAATGACAGAGTTAGAATTCTGGCAGATATGCCTACACTTGGAAATTTTACTTTTCCTGCCTGAGGGTTTTCCTTAAAAGAAGGCAGCCAGATACAGCAGGTTTTTTTGTTTACTTTCTTGTAGAGGTCTGAACAGCAAGGCTTGGTGATTAAAAAAGATATTCCAGAAAGCCCAGTAGAAATGGTCTGTTAAATTATGGGAATTTCATTCACCAGGTGAAAAATACTCAATTTTAGGTTCATCACTGTATGTGAAATACCCTTATTTTCCTGGAGATCATCCCAGGAAACAGCAGAGGCAAAAGCATCAGTTTCAGAGAGGCCCCCAAAGCCATCTCAACATCTGTCTGCACGTTAGTTAAAATAAGGAGCAAGGGCAGAAAAAAAAAAAAAAAAAGTCATTGCCAGTGTCAGACAGGTTGAGAATTCCCCACCAGGAAGATCTCATTAGCTACCTTTTTTTTTTCCCACCTGTGACAGACATTGACAAATGCTGAGGCACTTTTCTCTTCTCCTGAATCTGACCTTTAGTGATGCTGGCTGCCAGCTCTCTGAGGTGCACTCTGTATTATCTTCAGGTCAAAAATGAGCTTCAGTCAATCTGCGAGTTTTCCAAAGGCACAATGGATTACTGCTGACTTCCCTTGTGCTTTCACACCATTTTTTGGGGGAGGGAATAAAATGCATCTTCATAAGATGTTTCTCACCAGTATAACTGCATTTTAGTATCCCCCGTATTAGTACTCAGAGCCCTGGTGACGCAGTGGTTAAGAGTTCGTCCACTAACCAAAGGTCAGCAGTTCCAATCCACCAGCCACTCTCTGGAAACCCTAAGGGGGGCAGTTCTACTCTATCCTGAGTAGAAATCGACTCAGGCAACCGGTTTGGTTTGGTTTTGGTTTTATTGGCACTTTGGCCTAAGCTTTCTTTGACAGCTGATCTCCTCGTGTTGAAGACTGAACTGCTAGGGCGAGCAATCAGACAGACACAGACACAAAGATACACACACTCTCTCTCTGTCTCTCTCTCTCTCACACACACCCACACACACCCACACACACCCACACACACTTCTTTTAGACACAAGATCCACGGGGAACATCTCCTTGGGGCCCCTTGGCAGGCCCTGGACGCCACAGCGCGTTCCCTCTTCCTCTCTCTGCTCCCCCCTGGGCTTGGCAGGCCTTTCGGCGCAGATTGGGCTTCCTGCCTTTCCTCCTGGCCCCGCTTTCTCGGGGCTCACCTTGATTTTCTGCAACGTGTCCGGTTCATGTGCTTGTGGCAGCATTTCGGGGCACATTCCCCACGAGGGCATTTAAGGCGAAATCGCCTTGTACCCACATCCAGGAGGCCCCTGGGCTGCGGCAGCAGCCTCCTCATTGGTGTGCTGCGGAGGCGCCGTTACTTACCATTCATGCCACCGGGGAAGATAATTAAATCGAAGCAGAACCACCTTCCTCCCCAAGTCGCCGACGTGCGTTAAAGCTGCAGCCGGGTACCAATTAGCCACAGCCAGAGCCAGCCGGGCTCCGGAGCCGCGGAGCCACGCTGCGGTTACCTAAGCGCGAGGGGCCTCCCGCCTCCGCCTGCGCCTCCGCGGCCGCCGGCCCGCCGCCCACTGCCGAGCACAAGACTGATGGGCTGACACATGCAAGACAAATGCGTCCCGAGCGGGGGTTTTATCAAGATATATTTGCTCGGATTCCCAAGGTCATCGTAAACACTTTCATTGATAGTTTATTCGTGCTGTGTAGGTAAAACAAGCCACTTGCTTTTAAATTACAGATTCTAACCCAGAAGCTTGTTGCTGTCAGATGAGTTAAAAGCCGTGAAGGAAAAATGCTACAACGCTGCAGATGTAACCCCCAGGCTTTGAGGCATCAAGTATATATTTATGTCTTAAGATGGATAAGAAGCTTGGTTCTGTGGCTCACTCCTGTTTACTTGGCCTGGTGCTTTCACTGGGTGGGAGAAGCATAATCACCATGTGTAAGGTGCGCACCAGTGTAAATTTGTTCATATGCAAAGGAGTTAAGGGCACGACTTTTCTTTGTGCTCTTGCTGGCTTCTAGCATTTAAGATGTTCAATTAAAATTGAGCAATCACTGTGTTTATGTAAATGTTTACATCTTTGTTACAAGCCAAGGATGCAGTGTTACTCCCACATGTCAGAATAAGACAAAGCCAGTAGCGTTTATATCCTAAGAGCCCTGAGAACGGCAGCTCTTTCTGTCTCTACTAACTTATCTATTTACTTCACAAATACTTAAATAGTGCTACTATGTACCAGACACTGTTCTAAGCTCTTTATAAGTATCAGCTCTTTGGATCCTTATAATAATCCTATGAAGTACTGCAGCACTGCTCGGACCCTCATTCCAAGTTTACTGATGAAGAAACAGGAGTACACAGTGACATTGATTAGTTTGCCCAAGGTCCATAACTGTTGAGGGGGGGACCAGGAGAAGAGGATTCCAGCCTAGGCAATCTGGCTCCCGGTTCACGGTCTTAACGATCACCCAGTGTGGCTGCGCACTGTTGAATGGCCTTGGGAAAATCTTAATATCTGAGTCCAAAGGTCATCTTTTAAAAAGAAACAAAATTTCCATTTCAGCAAATGAATTTTTGTGATAATCATAAGAGAATAATATTTTTTTGCAGTGATTTGACTTATTTGGAGATTGAAACAAATAAGATAAATTGAGACAAGTGCTAATGATTGGAACTAACCTTACTTTGTGGAATTCACATTCCCCAGAAGTGTACAGGGCAAGTATTGGCTCTGGTAATAGAAATCTCGTACTAAGAGCTGTGTTGAGTACACTGGTCCCCAAACCTGGTGACTCTCTTCCTTACCTAGAACCTCAGAGGAAGGGAATATTGAGAGAAATGGTTCCAGTAGGGAGCCCTGGTGGCCTAATGGTTAAGAGCTCGGCTGGTAACTAAATGGTCAGCAGTTCAAATCCACCAGCTGCTCCTTGGAAATCCTATGGAGCAGTTCTACTCTGTCCTATGAGGTTTCCATGAGTCAGAATCGACTGGACAACAGTGGGTTTGTTTGTCTTTTTGGTTTTGGTTCCAGTAGATGAGTCAATCACAAGAACATTTCTTGTCCTGTAAAACAGATTTTATTGTAATCATGCCAGTGAGTACCCAGATTTTTTATCAAAATATTTCAGGTATAGTGGTTAAGAGCTACGGCTGCTAACCAAAAGGTTGGCTGTTTGAATCCACCAGGCGCTCCTTGGAAACTCTATGGGGCAGTTCACCTCTGTCCTGTAGGGTCGCTATGAGTTGAAATAGAAATAAAATTTCCAGGGATTTCATAGTTACTTAGCAGCAGAGCTAGAACTTTAATCAGACTTTTCCAATCCCAAGACCAACATATAGGCCAATGGTTTATTTTCATGATCAGGAACCAACCGCTTGTGGTTGGACTTGGGATGAGACTTATAGGTAATGAAACTGACATCAAATTGCCATGCCTTCTAGAACCATCCTTTTTTTTTTTCCCCCTCCCAGCACCCTCTTGGGATCCTCGTGTTCATGGGCACAGTTTGGCAATCACTACATTGAATATAGTATTTTTTTTTTATTAACTTGTGTTACTGGTTGACCAATCATTGCTAATTTTGGCTAACACAGTGTTAGCACTGCAGAAACCTTTACTTCCTCGTCTTGTCTGAATCTTAGTATCAGCAATTCTTGAGGTCAAAATAAGCCAAGCACGCCTTTCAGCGATGACTGTCTTGTTTGGGATTCATCTAAACTGCTTACTACGTTTACACACAAACATCTCACGGTCAAGCTAATATGGTTGATGCAATTCATGGAAAGTACCCAACATCTGTATCGCAAATTAAAATGTGATCAAAGTTTAAAGATTGCTCACTAATAAACATGAACCATTTCCATATCTTGGGCACTCAATTTCTGAAGACAGACAGCCCTTCATTAGGGAACTTCCTGTGGAGAGAAGAAAAAATACAGTTTTTATTAATTAGCCTTGTAAATGGTCATCCAATGTTCTTTGCAACCAGAAAGATTTTCTTCTGCTTTCTTGCAGCTGTTCTACTTTCTGCTGAGTGCCCTGGCCTTGATAGTCTGTGTGCTGGCTGTGGCGTTTGCTGCCCACCACTATTCACAGCTCACTCAGTTTACCTGCGAAACCAGCCTCAACTCCTGCCAGTGCAAACTGCCCTCCTCCGAGCCGCTCAGCAGGACCTTTGTTTACCGGGATGTAACGGACTGTACCAGCGTCACTGGCACTTTCAAACTGTTCTTACTCATCCAGATGATTCTTAACTTGGTCTGTGGCCTAGTGTGCTTGTTGGCCTGCTTTGTAATGTGGAAACATAGGTACCAGGTCTTTTATGTGGGTATTAGGATGTGCTCCCTAACAACTTCTGAAGGCCAGCAGCAAAAGGCCTGACATTCTTGCTCAAAGGTGGGAGAGGAAACAACAGCACATTGACTAGCTGAGGTTTAAAAAAAAAAAAAGAAGAAGAAAGAAAGAAAAACCACTTTTGACAATGAATAATAGTCACTGGTTCTAAATGAATATTTTTATACGTTTTCAGAAAATAAAAGCATTTCTTCAGGGTTTGATAGCATTTTTAAAAATTCTTATGAGACAAGCAAGATCCAGATAGAATTTGGGATATTAAAAGAACACTGAACAGGGGAAAAATGGCATAGATCAATCTTTATAGCCTGGAGTTTATTCCTAATACTTATTTTAATCCAGTAGTTATATAATCTTCTTTCTTATAGGTCCTGTTTGATGGCGTGAATGGGCATTTCAGGCCCACTTACTAAATTTTGGAGTTTCCCTCCATCACCCTCACTGTGTCTTGGAAGAGTGTCAGGGATAGGGAAGGTGCTGAAAGACTAGGTTGGCTCTCTTTATTTTCCCTGGTAGTGATGTTCTCAAGGTCTGAAGTAGCTTTAAGGAGCAGAGTAGAAAAGGAAGAGTCTTTGCAAAAAGCTAAATAAATATGAACACCTGGGCTGGGGCGGAGGCCTTTGCTGTTCAGCTCCCTTAGCTTGGGACTCAAAGTAGATCCCTTATTAAATGCTTTGATGATTGTCTGCTTCTTAATAATTAAAAGGTGGTAGTAGTTGTATTCTTAATGATGTAGAAGGTTTAAAAATAATTACGTTACGCTTTTATTCTATTGTATAAAACAAATCATTAAAACTAATTTCTAGCTAATTGTTAATTATAATTACGCTCATAAGTCTATTTAATGAGCTCTGAATGTACTTATGCAGCAGTCGGTGTTAGGAGAAATTACTGTCACAAGAGCTGAGGCCTAATGATTCTTTCTTCTGAATGCCAAGCTTTACAAGAAAAAAAAAATTAACAGCTCAGGTTAAAACATTCATTTAAACAAAAACAAGAGCATTTGTAATGGGAAACACAAAATAGCACATTTGTGTTATGTTGAAAAGTCTCCCTCTTGGCAGCTAAGTATTTTTGAGAAAAACTGAGTAATGCTGACATGTTCTATTCAAAAAACTATATGTAACACATAATTATTGATTTGTATGCACAGCCTAGAGACTAGTGATAATGTTATGAAGTCCATATTTGAGTAATACATACGTTAACTTGGAGGGTAGTTTTTATTGAGTTTTATTTTCAAGTGACTGACTTAACAAAGCACAAGTACCCTATAGTGGGAGACATGTCTCTTTTGTTATTTTTATTATAAAATTCTGAAAATACCATTGTTTTAAGGATTGGGTTCCAAATGGAAATTCATGTAGCATAAATGTTATCAAGAACTTTCTCTATTAGTATGCTCTGCTAGAAGCAGAAATTCATGATAGTAATTGAGCTCAATTTGCCTCTTCACATTGCCTGTTGATATACTTTATTAATCATGAATTTCTACCCTAAAAAGAGAAACATTTCTTGTTTGCCTCAGAACATAAATGAATAATTTCATGGATTGTGATAATGATGTCAATTTCTATACAATATAAATATCCAAATAGAAACGATAATGTTAAGTCACTTAGTTGGAGGGCTGTAAATATTTTTTATGTCCTCCAGATAAAACACCTGATCAACAGATGTTAGAACCTTTTTATATTTTGACTTGCTTTAAAAATGGCCTATGAACACATTAGTCCAGGCCAAGAAGGACCCTGGAGCTTAGTGGATGAGACTCTGGAACATAAGGTTCGATCACACAAAGAAATTACATTTATGGAATATCAAGGATCATGATGATGATCTGAAGCATACTTTGTGCAATGTTGAAAAATCCAAATAACTGAATCCATTTTGATATTTGACAGAGTTTCCTACGTAAGGAAGAAAATGACTGAGAATCTGAAATGCTATAGACTGTTCTTCAAAGAGTGAGGATCTAGTGCTTCAGTGCTACTTACCAGGAACCAAGCACCATTGGAAGCACATCCTGACTATCCTTAACAACTTTTTATAGCAAACACTCTGGGTTTTTGTATTAGAAATTTAAAATTCTACACGTCATTAAGGTGCTGTATGGTTTACAAGTGAATCACCAGGTATTTCGATGGTAGAATAACTTTAGCTTATGTGCTTCCTTTTTCTAAATAATATAACCAACAAGAACTGACATGGTAGCAAGTTTGTTTATAGTCAGGATATATACATATATTCAGATTTAAATAGGGATTTTGCTGTTGTGTGATCAAATCATTCTTAAATCCCTAAAGAGAGAGAGAGAGAAAGTAAATAGAAGGAACAAAAAACCAAAACAGAACAAAAAGATTCCTTTGCTGGGAACTCACCGTGTATTGATGTATGTAAGAATTGTGTTGCATGAATAACAAACTGCTTTGGGCTGGATTTGAAGTATTTTGATGTTGTGTTTTGCAAATATTGAAGTTACAATAACGGCAACAGAAAAGGAACAGATACACAGCTTTACACTTAGCAAAATATTACAGTTAAAATCTGACAAGGAGCCAAGATGGTGATAGTCTCTTCTAAACCATAAAACAGTAAGATTTGCGCAATCCTCCTCCTCTTCCACCTCCTTCAGGAGAGTTAAATGAATCAAGACTTTGGAAAGAGGGGGAACAACCGGGACTTGGCAGTACTTGAAATAGGAGGAATACAGCAGCCTAAATGTACAGACTTTGTAACGGAGCCCACTGAATCGGTCTGTGCCTTCACGTGACCACCATCTGTGCCTCCCTCGCGCCGTCCAAATGTTTGTAGGCAGCTCCTTGGAGCCATGCCCAAAAATATAGCACCAGGGCCCTAGAAACTGTAGTTAAGTAACAGGCCTAACTTTTTTTCCTCTTTGGATTAAAGTCTATATGATCCCTTCTGAGGGGTTTCCAGCTGCACACATCAGCTTGTTGTTCCGGCAGAGAGAATCCATTGTATATGTGTTTTCTATTCATGTTTAGGACATCAGAATCTTTTAATATTCTTGTATAACTGGAAATTTTTATAGTTTTTTAGTAAAGGGTGGGGTAGTGGGTGCTCAAGGGAGATTCTGAGGGACAAGCATGAGTGGTTATTTAAAGGTAATCACAAAGGAACTTAAAAGATGCCCTGAAAAACCAGTTATTTCCTATAATGAAACGTACTTTCATATTTTCTAGTTGACTCTGAACTGTTGCTATGTAGATATAAATTTCTGTAAATCATGCTGGCAATTCATTTTTCTACACTCAAAGAACTCTATCATGTTTTCAGATGTACGCTGTATATTCAGAATAGCATTAGGAAGAATTGAAGGCCAAATACATTGACTCATAGTGGAAACATTCGTTTGGATGAAGGCTTAGTGGTTCAGCCTGTGAAATGAATCCCTTGATTCTTTTTTTCCTGATTTTCTGGTACTTACTTGTGTCAAATGATTATCCCCTTCAAAAATATTGGTCTGTACTTTGGTATTGCAGGGTCATTCTTCCGGTATTGATGGAATTGTGAATAGAAAACACAGTGTTTCCAACATCTCTGAGGTGGTTGTTTTTAAAGAGGATGTGTATAATGCAGAATTTGTTAATAAAACTTTTAGAATCTCTGAATTCACCATGTTTGAATGTGCTTTAAAATGACTGTACATTGTACATGAACTGGTATACATAAAATCTCTCAGATGGATATCTACTTGAAAGATCTGGATTTGGAGTAGACAACCAATATTCATTTTGGCTCCTTTATTCCAGTGACTCGCTCTGGTTTGGTACACTGCATACATGCTAGAAGTCAGAGTTGTGAATGTTCCCCAGGCAAATAGTGTCTGAGCTGGAAAAATAGTGCCAAAGGTACCTGGAATGCTGATTCATTTATATATGTATATATAAAACAAACAAACAAAAAACTCATTGCTGACAAGTCAACTCTGACTTATAGCGATCCTATAGGACAGAGTAGAACTGCCCCCATAGGGTTTCGAAGGAGCGCCTGGTGGATTCGAACGGCCAACTTTTTGGTTAGCAGCAGAGCCCTTAACCACTGTGCATCCCGGTAAAACCCATTGCCGTTGAGTCAATTCCAACTCATGGCGACCTGATAGGACAGAGTAGAACTGCCCCACAGGGTTTCCAAGGAGCAGCTGGTGGATTCCAACTGCTGACCTTTTGATTAGCAGCCGAGCTCTTAACCACTGTGCCACCAGGGCTCCACTGTACCACCAGGGCTCCAGATACATACATATATATGTGTGTATATATATATACATATATATATATATATATATACACACATATATATATGCCTAAAGGATAGGATACATGTTGCATTTCACATATTCAATCATATTCTACATTTAATTATATAGAAAAACAGAAGCATAAAACAAAGAGTTGCCATGAGTCAGAATCAACTCAGTGGCAATGAGTTTGGTTTTGATTTATTCCATTTCAAATCTATGAATTCAAGGAGCGCCTGATAGCAATTTTGAAGCAGTTTAAATACTAGTTGATCATACTGTAAGGTATGGTGTTTCTTTTTGTTTGATTTAGTTAGAAACACTTGTAGAATACAAAAAGAAAGGGGTGGTAATTTAGGACAGGTGCTCTGAGCTGAATTTCCTATCCTTAGTGATAAGGCTCTAGTTCCTAGGGTGGGAAGACTGACTATTGCTGCTGACTGATCGTGTGACTTTGGACAAGTCATTTAGTCTTTAGTTTTCTCATTTGTAAATTGAAGAAAAACATAACTGCCTCACAGTGTTGTGGGGAAGGTTAAATGAAATAGCACTTAGCAAAGCGACTGGCTTGGAAAGGGAGCTTAGTAAACATTTGGTTTCCTCCTCGCTTAGGTGGGCTCTACATAGTCAGTAACCCAGAGATCTGTGACAATTCTCCTCCTTGATGTGGTTTCCTGGCTCTACCTTGCTGTTCTCTTCTCTGACTTTCTTTTTATAAACCAGAAACATTATCATCACATGGGCCTCAAACAGAAATTCTGCTTTTAAAACAAGCTAGCACCAGCTTTTATCGAGGACAGGCATATAGCGCATGGAATTATGTGCTGGTTGAATCCCAGTTCATTGATTTACACATCTGAATGTTTCTCAGATGTGGCCATCTTCTCTCACTTCTTCTTCCAGGCAGAAGTAGAACCTGAGGCACTTCTGATTTTTGTGTAACGTCTAATTTGATGTAATAGAAACACATTTAATTCCAACTTTTTTTTCAAAATTTTTTTATTGTACTCTAGATGAAGGTTTACAGAACAAATAGTTTCTCAATAAACAGTCAGGACACATATTGTTTTATGACATTGGTTAACAACCCCACAACACGTCAGCACTCTCCCTTCTTGACCTTGAGGTATATTTTTTTGGTGAAAATATACATCGCCAAAGTTACACCATTTTGAAAGTTTCTACATGTACAATTCAGTGACATCGATTACATTCCTCCAGTTGTGCTGCTATTCTCACTATCCTTTTCCAAATTATTCCATCACCATAATCTTCAACTCACTGTCCCCTAGGCTTTCCATCAAACCTTTTGAGTTGCTGTTGTCAATTTGATCTCACATAGATAATTCTTTTTTGTTGTTGTTGTACCTTAGATGAAGGTTTGCAGAACAAATAGTTTCTCATTAAACAGTACACATATTGCCCTATGACAATGGTTAACAACCCCATGACATGTCAACACTG